ATGATATGATACTTTATGTGGAAAACCCAAAAGACTCCACCCCAAAACTGCTAGAACTCATACAGGAATTCAGTAAAGTGGCAGGATATAAAATCAATGCACAGAAGTCAGTGGCATTCCTATACACCAACAACAAGACAGAAGAAAGAGAAATTAAGGAGTCGATCCCATTTACAATTGCACCCAAAACCATAAGATACCTAGGAATAAATCTAACCAAAGAGACAAAGGATCTGTACTCAGAAAACTATAAAATACTCATGAAAGAAATTGAGGAAGACACAAAGAAATGGAAAAACGTTCCATGCTCATGGATTGGAAGAACAAATATTGTGAAGATGTCAATGCTACCTAGAGCAATCTACACATTCAATGCAATCCCCATCAAAATACCATCCACTTTTTTCAAAGAAATGGAACAAATAATCCTAAAATTTGTATGGAACCAGAAAAGACCCCGCATAGCCAGAGGAATATTGAAAAAGAAAAGCAAAGCCGGTGGCATCACAATTCCGGACTTCAAGCTCTATTACAAAGCTGTCATCATCAAGACAGCATGGTACTGGCACAAAAACAGACACATCGATCAATGGAACAGAATAGAGAGCCCAGAAATGGACCCTCAACTCTATGGTCAACTAATCTTCGACAAAGCGGGAAAGAATGTCCAATGGAACAAAGACAGTCTCTTCAACAAATGGTGTTGGGAAAATTGGATAGACACATGCAGAAGAATGAAACTGGACCACTTCCTTACACCACACACAAAAATAGACTCCAAATGGTTGAAAGACCTCAATGTGAGACAGGAGTCCATCAAAATCCTAAAGGAGAACACAGGCAACAACCTCTTTGACCTCAGCCGAAGCAACTTCTTCCTAGAAACATCGCCAAAGGCAAGGGAAGCAAGGACAAAAATGAACTATTGGGACTTCATCAAGATAAGAAGCTTTTGCAAAGCAAAGGAAACAGTTAACAAAACCAAAAGACAACCGACAGAATGGGAGAAGATATTTGCAAATGACATATCAGATAAAGGGCTAGTATCCAAAATCTATAAAGAACTCATCAAACTCAACACCCAAAGAACAAAGAATCCAATTAAGAAATGGGCAGAAGACATGAACAGACATTTTTCCAAAGAAGACATCCAAATGGCCAACAGACACATGAAAAAGTGCTCAATATCGCTCGGCATCAGGGAAATCCAAATCAAAACCTCAATGAGATATCACCTCACACCAGTCAGAATGGCTAAAATTAACAAGTCAGGAAACGACAGATGTTGGCGGGGATGCGGAGAAAGGGGAACCCTCCTACACTGTTGGTGGGAATGCAAGCTGGTGCAGCCACTCTGGAAAACTGTATGGAGGTTCCTCAAAAAGTTGAAAATAGAGCTACCATATGATCCAGCAATTGCACTACTGGGTATTTACCCCAAAGATACAAAAGTAGGGATCCGAAGGGCTACGTGCACCCCGATGTTTATAGCAGCAATGTCCACAATAGCCAAACTGTGGAAAGAGCCAAGATGTCCATCGACAGATGAATGGATAAAGAAGATGTGGTATATATATACAATGGAATATTATGCAGCCATCAAAAGGAATGAGATCTTGCCATTTGCAACGACGTGGATGGAACTGGAGGGTATTATGTTGAGTGAAATAAGTCAAACAGAGAAAGACATGTATCATATGATCTCACTGATATGAGGAATTCTTAATCGCAGGAAACAAACTGAGTGTTGTTGGAGTGGGGGGTGGGGTGGGAGGGATGGGGGGACTGGTTGATAGACACTGGGGAGTGTATGTGCTCTGGTAAGCGCTGTGAATTGTGCAAGACTGTTGAATCTCAGATCTGTACCTCTGAAACAAATAATGCAATATATGTTAAGAAAAAAAAAAAAAGAAGAAGAAGAAGAAGGTAGCGGGAGGGGAAGAATGAAGCGGGGGAAATCGGAGGGGTAGACGAACCATGAGAGACGATGGACTCTGAAAAACAAACAGGGTTCTAGAGGGGAGGGGGGTGGGAGGATGGGTTAGCCTGGTGGTGGGTATTTAGGAGGGCACATTCTGCATGGAGCACTGGGTGTTGTGCACAAACAATGAATCATGGAACACTTCATCTAAAACTAATGTTGTAATGTAAGGGGATTAACATAAGAATAAAAAAATTAAAAAAAAAAACTGTTGGAAGGAAATATAAATGTGCGCATAAAATTAAAAAAAATATATATGCCCTTTTAAAGTTTTTTTAGGGGGGGCATAATTAAATATATGTGTGGTATTTTTCATTTAATAGGCTTTTTTGCCTCCAGCACTTACTCTGTGCCAACCATAGGGACACAGATGAGCAGGAATGAGGATAAGGAGGGAAGAAGGGGCAGCACAGCAAACACAAAAGTGCTTTTGAACTATATATGCCAGAAGTGCTATGGGAATTCACGTGAGTGGAAAGTCAGGAAAGACTTCATAAGGAATTGACATTTAAGGATGGTCATCCAGGATGGTGGGAGTCTGAAGGGTAAAGGAGGAAAACACATCTCATATGGAAAGAACAGCTTATGCAAAGCAAGGAATTGTAAATAGAAAGGTTATGACTTCTGGGAGCAATGAGAATTCAGACTGACCCCAAGCATAGAGTGCATGGCTGGGGGTTGTAATGAATGGGATGGGAAAGATAGGTGAGGGTCAGATCACAGAGGGCTTTGGCTATGCCAAGCTGAGGTATTTGGATCTTGTCATAGGGTAATAGAAAGCCCGTTAGACAGTGATGTGACCAATTCACAAAACCAATTAGGAATATATGTAGATGTATAGCAAGATAAAGAAGGCTTGAGCTAAGACAGTAGTGACCAAATTTAATAGTTTTTGAGCTAGAAGTGACATATAAGTTCAGCTGAATAAAGTAAGGGAGAACTATAAGGTCAATGAGTACTATAAGTTTTCTTTTGCTTTGAGACTACAAAAATGATAATGTTATTAACTAAGAATGAAAATATAGGAGAAGGAGTAGATTTTTTTTTTCATGAGTAGGAGACTGGAAACAACTTACTTCAAACTTGAAGTAACTGCAGGAAAGAAAGGTTTTTTCCAAACCATGTGCCCTGACTTCAAGTGCCCAAAATATGGTTTTTATCAGTGAATAGTTGATAGGTGACATTCAAGTTGATATATTAGTATGAATAGACTTGCTTTATCACTACAGCTTGATCATCATACTTACAAACTGTAGGTAGCAGCTATAATGCAAATAGAAGGGGGTGTTATTTTTTTTAAAAGGCAAAAATAAATAAATGGGACTACATCAAACTAAGAAGCTCCTGCACAGCAGAGGGAATCAACAAAATGAAAAGGCAACCTACTGAATGGGAGAAAATACTTGCAAATCATCTATCTGATAAGGGGTTAATATCCAAAATAGATAAAGAACTCATACAACTGAAAAAAACCAACAATCCAATTAAAAGAGCAGAGGATCCGAATATACATTTTTTCCAAAGAAGACATAGATGGCCAATATAAAAAGATGTTCAGCATCACTAATCATCAGGGAAATGCAAATTGAAACTACAAGATACACCACCTGACACCTGTTAAAATGGCTATTATCAAAAAGACAAAAAATAACAAATGTTAGCAAGGATGTGGAGAAAATGAAATCCTTGTACACTGTGACAGTGTAAATTTGTGCAAGCACTACAGAAAACAGTATGGAGGTTCCTCAAAAAATTAAAAATAGAAATACCATATGATCCAGCAATCCCATCTTCTGGGTATATACCCAAAGGACGTGAAATTATTACCTCAAAGAAATATCTCTACTCCCATGTTCATTTCATCATCATTCACAGTAGCCAAATTATGGAAACAACCTAAGTGTCCATCAAATGGATGAATGGATAAAGAAGACATAGTGTGTGTGCACACACACGTGTGTGTTGCCAGAGTCTTGGGGAGTGGGTGAAATGAGCGAAGGGTGTCAAAAAGTAGAGACTTGGCTGTTATAAAATAAATTAAGTCATGGGGATATAACGTAAAACATGGCAATTACAATTAATAATACTGTATTGCATATTTGAAAATTGCTATGGAGTAGATCTTAAAATCCTCATCAGAAGAAAAAAATTTTTTGGTAACTGTATGCTGACAGATTATTAACTTGATTTATTAAGGCAATCATTTTGCAATACTTACAAATACCAAATCATTATGTTGTACACCTGAAACTAGTATAATGTCATATGTCCATTATACCTCAATAATAAAAAAATGAAAAATGAAAGAAAAACACATGAAAAATGAGGGGTAAGAGAGCTGTCCTTTGTCTCCTCGTTCTCAGTTTTTTTGTTTTAAACTGACTTTCTGTCATTAAAAATAATTTAGATTATCACCACTGTATTATATAATAACACTTCTTTTTTTGGCTACCAAATTCAGTTGGTGAGCCCAGCTACATGTATTATTAAACAGATTTTCACAAATGTTAGAAATGCATGGATGGCTTCTTTGCTTATTATAAGTGGAAACAAGTCCCATTATAGGCTAAGACAGTTCTCAGATAACTTGCTGTGGGAGCATGAAACAAACACGTCAAATTAGAAGTATTTCTGCTGGACATCTTGGCTCTGCCATCTGTGACTCGTGGATCCTTGGGCCCAGTACACCTCTAGGCCAAAAAAAAAAAAAAGGCAATTCATTGATTCTCATGAATATGGATTTTATGTAAAAGCATTAATGAGCTCCTGTTGTTACAAGATCTTGTGCATTCTGAGCCATAAATACGCTTACTTTTGCCTCCTTGTTTCTTTATCTTAAATGCACATTTTTTAGAATTGTTCTCCTTTTGTAACATTTAAACCAGTACTAGAATAAGTTTTTAGTTTCTCCAACCAGTTGGTGAGCCAACAAATTTCTGTAGTTTGTTCTTCCCTCTTTTAAGAGTTGTATGATTCTGGAACTGTTCTGGTTTTTAAAAAATCTGTTTGATATTTGCAGAAACAAATTGGAGAAACATGGTGGAAACCTCAGATGGGCTGGAAACATCAGAAAATGAGAGAGAGGTTTCCAGTAAGCATAGCACATCTGAAAAGCCCAGGAAACTTCCATCTGATGCAGCCCCTGTTGGTAAGCAGCCATCATTACTGGCTGCAAGCAGTACTACCTCAGCTGCAAACCCTGGGAGATCAACAGTGAGCGATAAAGAGGAAGTGAAGCCCGATGACCTGGAATGGGCCTCCCAGCAGAGTACAGAGACTGGTTCTTTGGATGGCAGTTGCCGAGATCTCTTAAATTCCTCCATCACCAGCACCACCAGCACTCTTGTCCCTGGCATGCTCGAAGAAGAGGATGATGAAGATGAGGAAGAGGAGGAAGATTATACTCATGAACCCATATCTGTAGAAGTACAGCTCAATAGTAGAATTGAGTCGTGGGTCTCTGAGACCCAGAGAACAATGGAGACTCTTCAGCTTGGAAAAACCCTTAATGGTTCTGAGGAAGACCATGCAGAGCAGAGTGGAGAAGAGGAGGCAGAAGTGCCTGAAGTGCTAGAACCAGGGATAGATGGGGAGGCCTGGACTACTGACCACCAAGCAAGTCAGGAGCAGCAGAAGCCTAGCAGCTGCAGCTCGCTGAACAACGAGCCCTCTGATCTTAGTTATCCGCCCCCAGGTCTGTAACTCAGGAAATGTCCACTGTCTGTCTCCAACTGTGTAAGGGTTGCAGCCATTCTCTTTTATGCTTCATCTCAACGTTTTGCATTGTCCAGTATTTAATATGTATATTTAATTTCTGACAAATATTTTTTGTAGCTGTCTTTTACTTGTTTTACTATAATCTGTAGCTTAGCTTTTAATTAGCATCTAAGTGTCTTTCTAAGAGCTGTGTGGAAATTCAGTTGTTTGAGTTTATTTTGTTATGGAAAATAATGATTAAAATAGAAGAAGACTAGGTTTAAAAAAGAAAATAAATTTAAAATGCCTATTTAGAGTCATTTTGAAAGTTAAAGATCGATAGGAGCACTTAACCAATGTTTCAAGACTATGCCTCCTTCACTCTAATTTGATCAAAAGTTGTTTGGGCTTCTTTAAAAAAGAACTGGAGGTAGATTTGGAAAACTGAAAAAAAGGCTGAGGGTAGCTAAGCCCACAATTGTTTTGTGTTAAAAACTGATGCCACTTTTCTTTGGTCCAAAAATGTTTATTTTAGAAGCCATTGATCATTGTAATCGATTAAAGTTGGGATAGGCTAAAACAGAGCCTCCAAAACTTAGGCTAGCAAAGGAGTCACCACGATGCAGTAGAGCTGGCCGTACTTGTGGAAAGTGATAGATGTTGTCTTTAATAGTGAAAAGTCACCCATGATAGGACCTAACAGGTTCTGTCTCATATTTACTTCTTACTTACCTCAGGAATGCTCTTGTACATATTCGTATTTACATAAAGTTAGGCAAATTGTGGCAGGTGATTAACTGTAACCAATTATATGACTGCAGCACTTAACGTGTAAACTATTCCGAAACAGAGTCTTCTACTGGTGTGTTCTCTTGCATGCTTTTGATTTGGGACCCTCTGGATTTGCTATCTGAACTTGATTAGGTATCCGAACTTGTCCTGAGTGAAAAACCATTTCACCTTTTTAAAAAAATACCTATTTTGTCCCTAGCCTTGAGCACCTGCCACATAACACCAACCGTAGTTACTGATAGGAGGTCAGGGAGAAGAACTTTACACAACTTACAATGTGTATCCTGATAATCAAAAGGCTGGAAAAGGAAGTTTTGAAGAAGCGAGAAAGTTGTTCTAATTGTGCTGAAACTATTAGATGATTTAGAGTACACAGATCTAGGCAGGTATTACTTCTTGATCACTATTTATCCCTGCCCTTCTCTAAGATAATGTATGTACCTGCTTGGGAGAATTTAAACTTACTCAGCTAGAAGTTTTATTTGCTGGTCAATCACCTGGTAGTGACGTCTACAAGTTTATGTAATGTTGGGAGACTTACAGATGACCTGTTTTTCTCTCATCCCTCCAACTCCCCCCCCCCCCCCCCCCCCGCCCCGCACCGCCCCATCGCCAGCCTCCAGTGGACCACACACATGCACCCTCGGCTCCAGCCTTAAGCTCTCAAGCTCCCACAAGCAGGCACAGAACTGAGGAGGGAGGGGTACTTTCCCTGCTCTGGTTTAATGGCGCAGGGCTTTGCCTCACAGAGGCAGGAGAGAAGAATTGGGCAGGTTTTTTACTGAACTCATTGGGACTACTGTGCTAGTTGTGATGTTTTATAATGCTGGCATTTAATACTGGAGAATGAGATTTCTTGGGTGATGATTTAGTTATTTGTGCATTATGGAAGTTTAGGAGCATTGCTGTATAGAAAATGTCAGTCTATCAACTTTATTAGTGTGCTAAAAGGGGACATTATTATCCTGTCCTGTCTAAACTGTTCTCCAGTATAGACTTCTTAGGCACAACGTATTTAGTCTAGTACTTAAAGGAACACAGCATGTAAGGAATGAAGCCTCTGAAATAGTAATCATGGGTGTATATGTGGCAGACCTTACTGTGTCTACACATTTGGAAGTGTTAATTGGTTTAAGGAAATGATAGAGATTTTGAACTACTGACAATCTTAAAAGTGAGTTTAAAAACTTTTCATACTTTTTATGGTGTAAATTTCCTTTGCTTGGTGTCAGTGATTCAGATAACTCTTGATCTTGAGGTATTGGCTTTTCAAAGGTTTCTTATATTTTATATCTCTTCTGAATGAGAATTGTCATTTTACATTTTTGACATTTGTATCAAAAGAGAAGTTGAGGAAATCTTCAGAACACCAGTAACTTTTAAATTTATTACTATAGACTTCAGAAGTGTTTGATTATGTGTTTGATAAATGCTCTTGCACGTGCAGGATCTTCTGCCAGCAAACCCAAGGGACCACAGCCTTTTTTATATGAGACAGGTCACTCTAGAGGACTATCCAAAATTTATTAAAGGAAATGCTACTGTGTCGAAAGTATGCTTAAATAAGTATTAATAATGTCCTTATAATTTGTTTCCTTTAGATAAATTCTGGAATTTGTATATTCTATACAGGAGGAGGTGTGAAAATTGGGAAAGTGGTTTTTTTTTGTTTTTTGTTTTTTGTTTGTAACTGGGAGTGGGTGGCTCTTCGGAGACCTAATGGTAAGAGTAGGGGTTCATTATCACAAGAAATAAAAACCATAGATATTTTTTTCTTAGTGTGTAGAGGTTGTTTTATGGCAATAATTAATATTAGATTTCTATTTCAGTACATAAGTATATGAATTATATAATATGAATTGCACTCCCAGAACTAGATTTCTGCTTTAGTAGGTTTGTTTGCTGTGAAGATCACTTCTCAAAAGACAAATGTTCATACTAGCTTAATTTTTGGTTTAAATATGTTTGTAAATGATGTAATATATTTCTTTTGACTAAACATGGGAAAAATAATGTGTGTGATACATTGAAAAGTTTTTAAAGGCTTTGATTGGAGGTCATTTTTGCAGAGAGGGTATTTTATATGCTTCCAGTATTTGGAAAAGAATTAGTCAAAAGGAATTCACATAGTTTAAATATTGAAAAATTAATATCCAAATAATGTACTTGTCTGATTTCTTAATAAGCTGGGGGGGGTGGGGATTGTAATGTGCAAATGAGTAGTGAACTCTACATTCATTTTTCAACTCTTTAACATAAAACTGTTAAATCTTAACACATTGTTACTTTAATATATGTATAAAGAAGTATTACTGTTTGTAAAGCTGCTGTTTGCTTTAAAAAAAAAAAAAACCTCTGTCATTTAAGTATTTTCTGTACGTTGTGCCAGCAGGTTAAAATATTAATTTATACCATTTAAAAACATAATCATTTTTTGCTTTTAAAATTTTTCTGTGACATAATTTATTTAAAGACATCTTCCTCCTCCCTTGCCCTTTCCAGCCTTTATACACATCACAGAGTAAGCCAAACTGTCTACCTAATCCAAAATCTGAATCCCAATTAATGATAAAAATTTAAACTTTGTTGGCACAACACACCTTAAAAGTATTTGTGTTATTTTGTAATTTAATTTCTAAGTATACCACATGAATTTATAATTTAATGTCTTAATTGTAATGCTCTAATAAAAAACTAGCAAAATTAGTGAATTATAACATGAAAAGATTTTCATCTTGTTCTTTTGTTGTATGAAGGATAATTGTTATTTCACACTTTAGGAGTAATAACAGCTTTTTTTGCACTTTGTAAATACTAGTGGAGATTCTTCTGTAACTAATAAAATGATTATTGAAATGTAGTCTATCATTTCAGAATAGGTACTTAAGGGATTCATGACCTGCCCAACATGTAGGATAGGGAAAAAAAGAGAAGTCTAGCTCATCGCATTGCTTAGTGCCCTGATGGGTTTGCCAGAGAAGGTTGTAAAATCTGCAGGAGGAAATTACTAGTAAAATTTCCATTTGGAAGGGTTGGTGTAATCTGTGGCACAGGCCAAGGCATCTGCAGAGACCATCCTGGTGTTAGGAGAAAGCCCCTACAGATTTCTTCTCCTTTTTATGCTAGTTATTCTGTGCCAGGCACTGTTCTAAGCCCTTTCAATATTAACTCATTTAATCCTCACTACAGACCTCTGAGGAAGTGCTATTTTTCACTTTTAAGGGATGAAACGGTCATGGAGATGTTCAGTAACTTGCCCAAGATCTCACAGCTGGTAAATGGCAGAACTGGGATTCAGACTTAGTCCCACATCAACGGTCATGCCTGTACTCACTATGCTTTGTTGTGTCTTAGCACAAAATTCTCAGAGTTGCAAACAAAACTGTGTTTCCCTCACCTTCCTCAGGTGTCTTCTGGAATGTGAAGTGTGCCAGGACTGAACTGATTTTCGCAGGGACTGGATTTTATTGAGTCTCACTTAGAGTGGTCCCTTGTCACTATGTCACAGGGGAATGTAGGGAATCTGAGGAGTACGCTCATCTGTTAGAAAATAGGATCACTAATTTTCATAATGAAATGGATTTTTGCTGATCACAAAAAGAAAGGAAAAAAAAAAAGAAAGAAGGGAAGCCTCATCAGTTGTATCAGAATATTCCCCTTTTTTGACCACCATTTGTATCATTCCCAATAGTTCTTTTCCTAACAGCGATCAGTTTTTCTTTAACTGACCAGAAGAGGGTGTGCATGACACCTGAAAAGTCAAAGGCTACCCGGTAAAATTAGTAAGTATTTAAAATGGGGGGAGAAGGGAGAGAAGTATCCTAAGCAGTGGGCCTTGCCATAAAAGGTGCTTAGTTCTAAGGCTAAGCTCAGAACTCCAGAACCATACATTTCATTTTAGAAAGAGAAGAGAACACAGTCAAGACATTTAGCTCATGTGTTAAGCTGTTAGGTCTTTCGACATTTCTAAATTATCTTGGCAATTCAATATTTTAGCTTGGCTTGGGTTCTTATGTTGCATATGTGAAATAAGGTACGTGGCTAATTGTATAATAGGTATCAAGGGCAGCCTTGTGGATTGCAGGGCCAAAGCATGCTCAACTAGAACTTCGCAGTGCAAGGTTTGGAAAAATCAGAGGATGCTTCCATTTTGGACCCAGGCTTGATCCCTGTATTTCTCCTTACCCTACTCCTCCCATTACACTGAGTAATTAGTTGGCAACTCTGTGGCAAGAAGACATTTACTCTTGCAGAAATGGGCTGGATAACTGGCTACAATTCAACTGCTGGTATCCAAGGTTTGGGTCTGGAAGCAGGGTTGGAGCAAGTAAGATACTGAGTTGCATGAAATTTGGAGCTTCTACCTGAGCATCATGTTCTTTGTCCGGTTACTGAGGGACCAAAGACAGGGTGGAATTGTGAGTTGGTGAGCTGTGGGTTGGAGCCTGGAGTGGTATAGGTTTGAGGAGTGAGTGCTTCGTCTCCTTGGCGTTGTCAAGGCTTGGTCGTGGCTTTGGAGGGAAGAGGTTAATAACCACAGCCTTCCTATGGTGGGACTCCGATTTAGGGCAGTGTTGGTTGCAGTCTTATTTACTTGGGTAACAGAGATATGAGTAAAAGTGGTACCTGCTTAGGTGTGCACAGATTCCCTAGGTGGTCTTTGCTTCTCCGTCTCCTCTGTTTACCTGAGTTGGAGCACTTGCATTGTTTTACAAACCCTCAGCTTGAGAATAAGATAATGAATTGATATTTAAGCAGTTATTTTGTTGCCTCTGGTTATAGATGAGAGAAAAGTGTGAAAATTATTGGTTTCTCAATTATAGGAGAAATGTTAGAGGTCATCCTCCCTGTCATTGTTCGTCTGTGCTTTTCCCTTCCTAAAACCAGTGTTGTAAGGCATAGGGTGAGTTTCTGACAAATGCACCTTCATCGTGAAGCCTCAGGGGAATCAGGGACGACCCTATCTGAAATTATAACCTCTTCATCATTTTCTTCCTCAAACCTGCTTTTTTTTTTTTTCCATTTACATTTCAACTTCTATAGATTTTATTCATCTTGTCTCTGTCCCCTACTAAGGTCTGTGTGGGCTGAATCTTTGCATTATTTTCCTGCTTTATCTTCAGTGCCTAGCACAATGCCTGGCACAAAATAGGCACTCGATATATCTTTGTTGAATGAATGAATGAGGAAAGGAAATCAGCATTGGCAATTCAGTCATGCTCAGCAGCATTTACACTCCTACATACTGACTCCTGACTACACCTGTTTTTTTCACATTTGTTCAGAGTTGGGGTTGGAGGAAAAACTAACCTGAATCCCAAATAGAAAAGCCTCACCCTAGACTAGGGGCCTGCTCGAGTTACTCTGTATTTAATGTTCCTTTATTGCTTATAGTTGAAAACCTGGTAAGTTTAATAACTATGATTTCCATATAGAGAGAAGTGACACATACACGAGACATTTCTATGAGATTAACCAGGAAGGGGGCAAAAATGCACAAGCAACTAAGTGTATCTATAATGTTTTATTTTTAAGCTGTGTAATCAGTACATGAGAGTATGGCATATTATTCTTTATACTCTTATATGCTTATAATTTTATAAGAATAACCAAAAGGGGCGGGTGCCTGGGTGGCTCAGTTGGCTGAACGTCCAACTCGTGATTTCAGCTCAGGTCATGATATCAGGGTCCTGAGATTGAGCCCCATGTCAGGCTCCACGCTGGCCGTGGAGATTCTCTCTCTCCCTCTCCCCCTCCCCGTCCCCCCCCCCCCCGCTCTCTTTCCCTCTCTCTCTCAAAAATAAAAATTAAAAATTTTAAAAATTTTTTAAAAAAAGAATAACCAAAAGGAATAGGCTAACTAAAACACATCTGTAACTGACTTCCAAACTTGGCACCAAATCTCACTTCAATTCTTGACAAAGAAAATTTAGTGGTAGAAATGGAACTAGAAGTCAGGCTTAAACCCCTATCTTGATTGATGTAGCAAAGAGTTAAGATTTGTTAAGTAGCCAGTAACTACAAATTTTATCTTCTTCCCATGAACTAGAAACTGTCTCCTTTCATCCTTCACCTGGCCTAACCCTCCCCCAGTAATAAGAAATACGTCTCGCACCTGTGCCTCTTCCATCTGCTCTCTAGTTGGAGCAAGGTGCTTTAATCTTCATAGGAAGATTGAAGATTGTGTTGGCAACCCACTTATCTGGTTTCCTTAGCAACCAGAACACAGTGTTTAAAGTGATAGCATCCCTTGCTCAGAATAGAAATTGAGTAAGCCTGATCATGATGCCCTGGTCTGCTCAGGGCTGCTTTACCTCTTCAAAGACTCTTCTTCATCTGGCTATTCATGGTAGCCAACTTTTAAAAGGATAACTACCTGGAATGTAATCAGTAAGAGCTCTAGATCTATATACATACCTGACTTCACCCTTGCCAGTCACAGTGACCCTTATCTCCAATCCCTGGAAATATTGAGCAACCTGTCTCTTTTAATTCAAGAATTTAAGAAAATTTTTTCATGTCCTTGTAACTTTTGCCGCAATTTAGATATGCTGCCCCCAATTTCCATGAAATCTGAGCAGGAATCAAGACAATGAAGTTGCTTAGGCATTTAGGGAAAGCACAAAGCAAAAAAAAAAAAAAAAAAAACTTTTAAAGGAAATTGTTGTTAAAGAACTATGCTTGGCATCTATTATTTTGTCTGCTTAGTATATCCCTTTGGGGAATGGCTCCACACCCACCCTATTCCACCCTCATCAGGGATATAATCTCTAATTGCAACAGAAGCCACAGTTAACTGATCCTGAGACCATTGACTGGTCTGGGAATCTTGAGACAGTAAGTCTACACTAGGCCAATGGGTCTCTTGGGATTTTTGGATTTGGGACTGAGAGTGGCTCAGTGGTTTTGTGTGCTCGGATGTTAAGATTGGAATCTCCGACCCGCTTGGTGGCCATGAAAAAACAGTGTTGAACAGGTTTCCTGACTGTCAGATGTTTTAGAACCTCTAATATCCCAATACATTTTGACTCTCCGTAAGGGGAAAGATTTTTTCTATATCAGGCAGCATTTCCCCAATATTTTGTACCATGGAACATGGAGTTCTCCAAATTTACCTGGCCCCAGAGTACTATCTCTGTGCAAAAACTATGAACATCCTGGGGAACTAGTTTTTCATGTAACATGCATTAAACTCTGTTGCTTAGACTGAAGCTTCCATGAGGTTGAGACACACAAGGGATGTGTGGTCTGCTCTGACTTCGATGTTTTCAACCGGGGGTGATTTTCTCCCCAGGGGATATTTGGCAATGCCTGGAAACATTTTTTTTTTTTTTTTTTTTTTTGTGATAACTGGAGAGAGTGCTACTCTAGTAAGTCAAGACCAGAGATGCTGCTAAGCATCCTACAATGCCCAGGACGGCACCCCCTCCCACCCCACAGCAAAGGAATTATCTGGCCAAAAATATCAATAATGCAGAGGTGGAGAAACTGTACTCACTTGATGTCAGGATGCTGGATTAGGCCCGTATGGGTTCAGGGCCCCAAGTCGGTGGGCATGTACTCACACAGTGCATTCAAATGCTCTTGACCTCTGTTTCTGGCACCTGTTTAGCTATTCTCTAATGTTCCAGAGTAGACTTAGCCAGACTCATCCAGATCTTCGGGATAAAACAGGCCTTTCCCACCCCCCTCACTTCCTGGGGAAGAGGCTAAGGAGAATTCACCCACAGCTTCTGATCACATGCCAGTGCTTCCTCCCACGTAGCCCACTTACTTTCTCCCATCACATGAGGAGGCGTGCGAGGAGCAAAAGGGCAGGGAGGCACCTCTGCGAGAGCTGCTGAGTAAATGGTCCA